TTAAATGTATCAGTTACCTGGGTAGTACAGATTCCATACCTGATCAAACAATGAAGTTCATGAAAAAAAAAATGGCTTTCGGAAATAGAATCCTGATTTAAAAAAAAAAAAAAAAATACATGTACCAATATAAAGGTAGTTTTGCAGTTTGTCAATATTGTAAAAATTGCATTCATTGAATCAAAAACAAAAATCAAAATTCATTCAAGAATTTATTAGAGCAACGCCTTGAGATATCTTAAGATTGTAGCAAAAAAAAAATGTAGCCTACGACACGTAAAGCTGTATAGCTAACGGTAGGTAAGAATTTCACTACTTTCCTACAATATTTTATTATCCATTTGTTACTGGTGCCATACGTTGCTAATTGATATATGACAGAGTTAAACAATATTTCAGGTAAAAATAACTCTCGATGAAAATTACTTTGTGTCTGCAGCAACCTATTCCTTTGACGAAATCCCATATGTTGTTTTGTGATTGTACATCTATCAATATGCCCCCGTGGGGAATCCGGGTTAGAATAGGTCCTCAGTACCCCTTTGCTTGTCGTAAAAGGCGACTAAATGGGGCGGTCCTTCGGATGAGACCGTATAAACCCAGGCCCCGTGTCACGGCAAGTGTGGTACGATAAAGATCCCTCCCTGCTCAAAGGCCGTAAGTGCCGAGCATAGGCCCAAATTTGCAGCCCTTCACCGGCAATGGTGACGTCTCCATATCAGTGAAATATTCTGGAGAGGGACGTTAAACAGTATACAATCAATCAATCTATCTATCAATGTGAAGATTAGTTTGATTTCAAAACTGATATTTGCATGAAATATTAATCAAGATCAATTTCTTTCTACGACTTTTTTTTTCAAAAATTAACACCATCAATATGATTTTACTTTGGAGAACTCTACAGAGATGACAACCATCCGCTTATCAATGAAAACTTAGCATGATAGCGGAATTTATTCACACATGTACGTAATTTTGAATATAATTAAAGTTAGATAGAGAACAAGTCACTTGATTAACTCTTGAAAACGCAGTGGGCAGAATTTTTTTTCAATAACAAGGATCAGTTTGTAAGAATACACTAAGTAAGCTTGAAGAAACTGACTTTTTTTTCAAAATTCTGTGAAATCAATGTTATGTGATGCATGCAAAAATTGCGTACAGGTGATATATTGCATTGATATTTTTTCTGGTGACAAAGACAATACTGTAACACCTATGTAATGCAGTTTCTAATCAAAATGTACAAAAACATTTTCATCTCTCTTTAGAAATTAGCAAGCAGAATAATAAATTCTCAGAAACATGTGACTTCCGTACTCATGCATACTATGAGTATTATATTGCTACATCATCCAAAAAATTAATAATTGCCAAAAATGAGATGTGGATATTTATTGACACTAGCCAAGGTTAAAGTTTTTTGGAATCATTTTCATGTTACTGTGTGTCTATAGGAAAACTAGCAATTTTTAAGTTGTTCATCCGTGTAAAAGTTGCACTAAATCTTGTTAAAAATCATTCATTATTTTAAACAGTTCTTCAAAAGTAAAATAATAAATAAATTCTTTTACTCATACATAATGTACACTTGAACTTAATTTAAAAGGTTATACACAAGGACATATATAAGCAGGTAACTTCAAAACCATAAAAATATAATGACAACTAGAGGTACTGTGAGCGATGAGCTGACTAAATTATACCCCCCGCCTCCATATAGTTATAATGACAAAGTCCATGTTTTGCTGTGGCCGGGAAACCCAAAATATGTGTCGGATTAAAAAGTAAAATAGGAGGTCACAATGGCAATATGTAATAAAGATTCTGTGAAAGTTTCATCAAATTTCATTCAGTGGTATGAGAGGAGTTGCGGATAAGAGATGGGTACCCCAAAGCGTAACAGACGGACGTACAGACGGACGGAATTAACGATTACTATATACCCTCCCGTTTTTCAAGCGGGGGGTAAAAATATTGAAAGCACAAAACTTTGAATTTTTTATGAATGTATATATAGGATCTCCCATGATTTGTAGTTGAATATGGTTTTTATCCAACGAGTTTTTTTTTAATCCACGAGCCTTGGCGAGGAGATAAAACACACAATGAGTTGGATGAAAATCATACTAGTACCCAACTGCAAATCATGGGAGACTCTTTTTATCCCATGTTTAACGCACAGAATTGGGGCTGATTTTGTAACGTCGAAATACCCATTACTGACGTTGAAGTATATGTCGTAAAAAAGTCAACAATTTAAGGCGTAACAAATTAGACTAGATATCTCATTTTTGCTTTTGTTTTCTTAAAAAATATCTAACTTTTTAGTGTTTCTTTAGATACAAAATTTTATTTATTTGCACATTTTAAAAACAAAATTTTATCTGTAAGATTTTTTTTCTAGTAAATAGAGAATACAGGTCACTTTAATGCTTTAAGTCCGGTTAAATACATGTACCATAAAACGCATTTTTGTGTCGTAGTAACAAAACAAACTAGACATAAAAATCGATCTATCAATCTCTCCTATTATTTGCTTATATTTTTTAAAAGAAACATTTGTCTACTTCTTGATTTACACATTTCATTTATCACTTTAGTTTACGAAAAGGACCTGTTATATAGTAAAAAAATCTTTACAAAACATTCCGTCTTTTTTGTTACTCGTCAAGATCACAGCATATTACAGAATGCTTCCAATTTTACGAACAGTCGGATTAGGTTAGTATATTGGTAATTTATTACCGAATTTTGTGTGACATTATCACAGGACATTATAGGAGATTGGTACAAATTGGCTAAAAAATCCATGTAGCCAAAACGATAAAATGACCGAAAAATACTAACGTAAGTCGTTTGGAGTGATACAAGGATGAAGTTACGCAATTTAATTAAAACCCCAATACTATGCGCGACGTCTTCACAATGGGATACGGAAACGATATCACATCAGCTATATCCACGGGATAAGGGGTAAACATGGGATAAATCATATAATTCAGTTACAGTGTATCACTGAGGGAGTCTTCGTTGTGTGCTTTAGTTGTTTTTCGCAAATTTCTGCCATTCGGTTACATTTCCAGACCTTCCAGTGACAATTCAATTAATTGAATGGCAGTTTCAATACGTTAAATGTCTACAGCGTTAAATTTTTTTTTCTCTTTTAATAATTAAATTATTAATATTTTGCAGTTAAACCAGCTGACCCAAGACAAAGTGCATGGTAGGTATTAACATTTCATTTCTTCCCGGAAGTTAGATATTTAGATAATGATACATTTTTTTTTTACCAATGACGCAGAAAATATATAATTCTAGTACTTTATGAACCCATGAATGACAAACAATGGTGCTACAGAAAAAAAATGAAAACTTTATTTTGTGATCGGATACCAAGTGAATCAGATTCTTTCAAGAAACAAGATGTGTTTCTGAAACACTATGCGCCCAGCAGCAACAAAACATAGCATATATGTCACAGTCAAGGTCATTAACCTTGGTGTCATTTGAAAGAAATTGATTAGTAAAGTATGGATACCAAATATGAAGTCTCTATCTTCCATGGTTCAAAAGTTATGGCGAAGATTCAAGTTTGCAGACAGACAAACAGACAGGACAAAAACAATATACGCCCAGGATCTTCTATCAGGGCGCATAAAAATGCTGTTACTATTTTAGATCTCTCAAAGGCACTCATCACTTTGTGGAGAGGGCTTTAATTTCTATTCCTGCTGTCAAATCCGTATACGTATTTATTATACATAACAAGCGACTTTAAAGAATTGTGGTTCTCCGCTTTTGGTGTCTTTGTGGGTGAAATGTCATTTTTTATGGCATATTGTGTCAAATATGCACGCTATTTTTATACCCCCGCTCCGAAGGAGAGGGGGGTATACTGTTTTACTCTTGTGTGTCTGTCCGTCTGTCTAGCTGTCCGTCTGTCTGTCTAGCTGTGTGTCCGTCCGAAACAAATTTTCGTCGCAGTTTTCTCAGCAACTACTCATCGTAGATGCTTGAAATTTTAACACAATCTTCTCTGTGGTATGCCATATGGTGGGATACATTTTCGCTTAAATCCGATATCAACTTCCTGTTTGTCTGTGCGTCTGTCCGTTTCATACATCACAAATTTTCGTCGCAGTTTTCTCAGCAACTACTCATCGTAGATGCTTGAAGTTTTAACACAATTTTCTCTGAGACATGCCATATGATGGGATACATTTTCGCTTAAATCCGATGTCAACTTCCTGTTTGTCTGTGCCTCTGTCCGTTTCATACATTACAAATTTTTGTCACAGTTTTCTCAGCAACTCTTCATCGCAGATGCTTGAAATTTTAACACAATCTTCTCTGAGACATGCCATATGGTAGGATTCATTCTGTTTAAATCTGATGTCAACTTCCTGTTCGTCTGTGCGTTTGTCAGTTTCATACATAACAATTTTTCGTTGCAGTTTTCTCTTGAACTACTCATTGTAGATGCTTGAAATTTTAACACAATCTTCTGTGAGGCATGCCATATGGTGGGATACATTTTCGTTCAAATCCGATGTCAACTTCCTGTTTGTCTTTGCATCTGTCTGTTTCATACATAACAAATTTTATTCGCAGTTTTCTCTGCAACTACTCATTGTAGATGCTTGAAATTTTAACACATTCTTTACTAAGGCATGCCATATGTTGGGATACATTTTTTTTTTAATCGGATATCAACTTCCTGTTTGTCTGTGCGTCTGTCTGTTTCACAAATAACAAATTTTCGTCGCAGTTTTCTCATTACCTATTCATAGCAGATGCTTCAAATTTTATTACACTCTTTGTTTAGGCATGCCATATGTTGGGATTAATTTTGATATGAATCTGATGTCAACTTCATATTTTTCTGTGCATCTGCCTGTAATTGAACTTGTGTGTATTAACATGATAGTGCTTATTTACATCAGAGCGGGGGTATTACTAGTGAGCATTGGCTCACAGATTTCTTGTATGTCATTCAGAAGTCACCGAAGTAGATTTTTTGGGGCTAAAAATTAGGTCAGTCTTGAAGGTCAAGGGATCAGAAATCATAGCATTCTTGGAGATATCTTCAATAAAGCATTGTTTTTAGGTCCATCACAGTTCCTTATCACTATATTTTTTATGCGCCCGGATCATTAGATCGGGGTGTATATTGTTTTTGTCCTGCTTGTTTGTCAGATTATCTGTTTGTTGTCTACTATAACCTTCGCCATAACGTTTGAACCGTGAGAGCAAGGAAGCCGTAGATTTCGTATTTGGTATACATACTCCACTATCTAAGCTTTTTCGAGTGACACCAAGCTCAATGACCTTGTCCTATATGCCAAAAATAGCTTTTTCGAACTTTAGCCATAACTTTTGAACAATGTTAGAAAGAGACTTTATATTTAGCATGCATACTCTACTAATTCAGTTCTTTCAAATGACACCAAGGTCAATGACCTTATGACCTTGAATGTAACCTTTATGCTAAAAATAGCTTTTTCGAACTTCCGCCGTAACTTTTGAACCATAAAAGATAGACTTCTAATTTGGTATACTCACTCCACTAACAAAGCTCTCTTTAATGACAAGGTCATTGACCTTCTGACCTTGACTGTGACCTTTATGCTAATAGAAAAACTTTTTTAGAATTTTGTCGCCACCGGGCACATCTTGTTCAATTTGAAATGTATTATACGTTTATTATGGAGCAGCTGAAGGGTTTTCTACGAATGGAATGTTTTGAATCCTTCTGGTTTTCTTTTTTTTTTTTCAACATTAGGATATGCGAATATGAACGTTTGTGGTTTAATGCTCTTTAATAATGTCAAGTTAATATGTCTTAGAAAAACAGTACAAAAAAGATTCAAAGTCAAATAAATGGCATACATGAATGCAAATTATTGACATATCTGCTATTAAAACACGATATATATGATTTTAGACTAAATGTTTTGTGTCGGCTTTATATAATTTTAATTATTTCAATAGTTATTAAAATGTAACTGGTACGCAAGGAAAGTGCATGTACATTTAATATTGAAATGTAAGGTCTCTTCACAAAGTATTAATCACTTATCGAAAAAATTGAAATTGCTTGTTATTGACAGAATTTTGGAATGTTACTATATGCCCAAGTACCCCCCTTTTAATTAAATTTCTTGCTGTGTAACACCATTCATGAAAAGCGGTTTTCAAAACTTTAATTTCGTACATGTATGTGGGTGTCAATAGTACTTAGTTGAGGATGTTTCAGTAAAACACAAAATAAACAAAAAATAAACGTGTCGGTTCATGTATATTAAACGCTTTCACAGTTATTATACCGTTCCATAAGAGTAAAGTAGAACCCGAATTTTTATGAATGATAAAAATAGTGGATAATAATTAAACCTAATCAGTGTTTATAAATCGTTAAGGTTTTGAGAGGTGAATACTAGAAATGTGTGAGAAAAGAGAATGCATGAATCAGGTAGAGAAATCTTTGCTGAGAGCAAAACTTTTGATGAACTTTAAGTAATGTAGTACAATTCTCTACAGACTTTTCCTTCACTTGATCATGACAAGGGTTTGTTATACGCTACTCACCTCATAATCCATTGGCATACGGTGTTGATAGAAGTTGGGTTATTTTTTTCCCGAGTTCAGATTGGGATTCAGTACACCCGGTCGGCAAATCAGCAATTGTTTTTTTTTTTTTTTTTTTTTTTTTTTGTAAATGACGTTATTTGCGTTCGGGATACTTCTCGACTCTTTAATCTCGAGAATGAAAAACGCAAGTAAACAACGATCCGTAAGATAACATGCAATTCTATAAATAGCTATGGTGTCATCCAATATCTTGATTAAAAATCTATATTGAAGCTTCAGATTTGTACTATAGATAATAAATAAATTGCTTCTTAATTATTCTTGAAAAAAACTTTGATTTAATTTTTTTAACACGCGTCTTTATTTCTGTCGATGACGCAATCTGTGCATACCTGGTAGATTCGAGATCATGTGACAAAAAACAATCCTGTCTTTTGGTTTCACCGTATGCCAAGGGTTTATGAAGGAGAGTAGCGTATCAGAAACCCTTGGCTAGTGAAGATGTTTTGAACAGAGTTATGCCCCTTGTTTTTCAAAGATTCTTGGAAAAGCTGGTTTTTTGTTTGTATGTTGTTAAAAGTTCCTTTAATGCGTCAATGGGCCTCCTTTAATGCGACAATGGGCCTCATCCGGTCTCATCCGAGGGACCGGTCTCCATGTCCCACAGTTGGATTCGACCGCGCGACGTACATGTAAGGATCAACTCCTTACTTCGCGGCTCTAGAGCAGACACTCTAGTCTAACCACTTCGAAGTCGCCACGCTGGCGACACCTGAACTGGTAGACTATGTAAACATTTCTCCACATATTCGACTTATCAAAAACAACTCGGCCATTTTTAAACAGGCTAGCACAACGTACGAATTATTATTATTTCAAATGAAGGGAAGTCCCCTTCCAAAGTGACAGAGTGAAGAAAAGCACAATATATTGGGGTCATTAATTTCTTCTTATTCAGAACCACTGAGATAGAAAAACTGACACATACATGAAACCTTCCAGACGTACAGTTAATTTCAAAGCTACGGTACTATTTTTTCTTTGACATTCTAGATTGTACAATTTATTATTTAGGATAGAGTGCATAAGGCCAATAAAAACTTTGTAACATATTTTTCTAGTAATATATTCAAATATGAAACAGATGTGTCAGACCCTGTTATATCACGTCAAGAAGGCATGCGTTATTTCGAGTCGACATATAAATGGAAGTAACTTTTGTTAATTGATAATACACTGTACGTTGCCGATGTATCTACATTGTAAGTACCGAGTGGAAGAACACAGCATGTTCAACACACACCTTTTGAGTAATTTTGGCCTAATAAAATACAAATCTGATAATAATGGGGCAAAATTGGTACCAATGGGAATTCTTTCAGATTACTGAAAGGCGAGAGTGGCTGTGTGTACAAGCAAACAATGCATTTCTGCACTTTATTCCAACCAAATGTAGTTTTCGTGTTACTGTTCTACAATATTGAATTCTTAATAAAGTTCGAATAATTTAAATTTCATGATTTTTGATTTATGGTAATGTTTATATCCTACATTAGTGTTACATTATCTACTTGTAGAATACAAAGAAGCATTTAACATGTACGACAAGGACCATGACGGAATCTTATCAGTTCAGAAACTAGGTGCTGTGCTTCGTGCTCTTGGCCATAACCCGACCGAAATCGAAATTCAGGAAATGATTGACGAGATTGACTCAGAAGGTATTATTGATAAAAGTGTCAACTTTTTTTATAATACATGTTTGCAAGTATCTTTGGTTTTTGCAACGGAAAAAATTTATGGATAGACAGAATACAAGGGTAGTTTTGTATATTCTCCTTTCCTTTGGAGCATGGAAATGCTTTTGGTCCCTGGTGCTAGGATAAGATCACAATAGGGGGATCCAAGACCGGAGTAAATAGGAAAAATCTTCCTAAGAACATTGCCTTTATCAGAAAAGATGATACTCACTTAAAAGTTTACTGAGGGAGTGAAGTCGATAAATTGTTCAAAACATAGCATCAGGGTAGAATGAGACCACGACAGGCATGAGATTTTTAAGAGAATTTTTTTTTTTAAAAACTCCTCTTATTAACAAAAGCAAAATCGTTATCATAAGTTAAATCTTTGTGGAAACATCCTCAGGTGGAAGGGATTAATACCCCGGTATTTAAAGTTGATTTAAATTTAAATTTGGGAGGGGCATAACAAGAGGCCCATGGGCAACATCGCTCACCTGAACAGCTTTGACCATGCTGTTCTTTACCAGATCCCCCTTGTATTACATATTGTGAACCTACCCTACCCCACTGATCATTATTTAGACAATCAGAAATCTACACTATCCCAGGAAGCTTCCACATAAGTTTCAGCTTTTCTGGCCCAGCGGTTCTTGAGAAGAGGATTTTTCCTATATATTTCTATGAAAAACTTTGATTCCCCATTGTGGCCCCGCCCAACTCCCGGGGGGTCATGATTTGAACAATTAAGAATTTACACTACCCCTGGATGCTTCCACATAAGTTTTAGCTTTTCTGACCCAGTGGTTCTTGAGAAGAAGATTTTTGAAGATTTTTCCTATGTATTTCTATGTAAAACTTTGATTCCCCACTGTGGCCCCGCCCAACCCCTAGGGGTCATGATTTGAACAATTTAGAAACTACACTACCCCCAGGATGCTTTCACATAAGTTTCAGCTTTTCTGGCCCAGTGGTTCTTGAGAAGAAGATTTTTTTAAAGATTTCTCCTATATATTTTTATGTAAAACTTTGATACCCGATTGTGGCCCTGCTCTACCCCCGGGGGTCATGATTTGGATAATTTAGAAACTACACTACCCCAGGATGCTTCCACATAAGTTTCTGCTTTTCTGGCCCAGTGGTTCCTGAGGAGAAGATTTGTAAAGATTTTTCCTACATATTTCTATGTAAAACTTTGATACCCGATTGTGGCCCTGCCCTACCCCCGAGGGTCATGATTTAAACAATTTAGAATCTACTACCCCAGGATGCTTCCACATAAGTTTCAGCTTTTCTGGCTTAGTGGTTTTGAGAAGATTTTTTAATGACCCCACCCTATTTTTGTCTTCCTTCATTATCTCCCTTTGTGAGGGGACTTGGCCCTTCACTTTAACAATTAAAATCCCCCTTCACCTAAGGATGCTTTGTACCAAGTTTGATCAAAATGTAATCAGAAAAGCTCACTTGAGCCTTTGGATCAGGTGAGCTAAAAATGATCAAAAGACTTTTTCTACATATAGATCAGTATTATCTTATTAGTCATATTTGTGTGGAAGTACCCCCTGGTTGTACAAATTCAATTCCGTTCCCATCATATAAAATATATAAAAGGTAAAGATGACAAACAGTAATAGATCTAAAAAAAAAAAGATATACATATGTGTATATGTGTGTATGCATATATGTGTAAAGAAAGCATGAAACACGGACACGGAAAATCCGAAGGTGGGATCAGGTGCCTAGGAGGCGTAAGCATCCCCTGCTGACCGGTTACACCCTCCGTGAGCTCAACGTATTGATCAGGTACATGTAAACGGAATTTTGATGTTCATGTACAATTTATTAATTAACACAATTTTGACAGGTACTGTTCTTTTTTTTGTCAGAAATTTTACTGTGTAGGTTGTCTTGCTTTTAACCAAGTTGCTGTTTTAATTAAATTAGGCACAGGTTTCATCGACTTCGAAAGTTTCTTGGATGTTGTTATGAGTCGTGATTTGGACGAAGAAGACCACGAGGTGGCGCTTCGAGAAGCTTTTAAAATGTTTGACAGGGATGGTAATGGCTACATTGACGCAGACGAACTACGCCTATGTATGATGAACCTAGGAGAGAAACTGACACTCGAGGAGGTGGAGGAGATGATTAAAGAGGTCGATGTTGATTTTGATGGGAGGATGAATTATGAAGGTAAATCATTGAGAAAAGCCGCTCTGGTTCATTCATTATTAATTTTTTGGCCAAAATTGAATGCTTTGTGTTAAACTTTGCAAGAATATATTTTAGGCCACATAATTTTAAATTGTAGTTCGTTGGACCAGCGCGCTCGTTTTTTAACATAATTTCACAAATAATATTTATTCCACCGCATCTGGAAAATTTTGTGTTAATTTCTGTTCAACTTCCGATCTTTTTTTCGTATTTTAAATCTGCAAAGCAATAAAACGAAAAAAAAATTAATTTTTCGCTTAAATTTTTTCATGTTTCACCTGAAAATTTTGCCTTCAATAAAATAACATTTTAATATTATTTAACCGCTTGTCCGCTTCTACTTTTTTTCATCAGATGTCCGACGAGCATGAAAATAAATTGGTGTGGCCTTATCAGTTTCAATTGAAACATAAAATCAACACCTCCATCTTTTCAGTAAACAAGTTAAAGGTTTTTAAAAACTATTTTACCTTGCGTCTATGACTGTCGAATATTTTTCATCTATTTAATACTTCTGACAACTTTAAATAAAGCACATGGGTGTAAGAAATTATTACATGGAAGCCTTTCTCTTCTAACAGGCACGTACCAACGGGGGGGGGGGGGCTAGCCCCCCACTTTTTTTCCCAGCAATACTTTTACTATTGGAATTGTTCATTGGGAGGCTGGTTACCCCCCCCCCCCACTTTATACTACAGGAAATTGATATAAGGGGAATGTAGAGTTGAATACAAAAAATTGGTATTGGCATTGAAAAAGTTGGCCTCACCACCTCCCACCCCCAGATTTAGGATTTTGGAGTTTGGGCAATTTTCCTTGTTTTTTTTTTTTTTTTTTTTTTTTTTGCTTGTCAACTTTTTCAGGTAAGTAAAAAAAAATTCTCTGACTGCCGATGCTACGTGGCTGTCTAAGCAAGAAGCTAAGGAATTTTGATTGGACATTTTTCTTTTACAAATCTACTGGAGCAGAAAGAACAATATCTGTTATCATATCTCTTTACTTATAGTTTAATCATGCACATTCTGTACAAACATTGACAATATGCAATAATACTCCTTGCAAATAATGTCGTCCATCGGAATATATTGTCGCCGCCTGAAAGTATATACAATTTATGACTATATATCGATGACTGCAAATGAAATTACGAATATCATTATTCATATGGAAAATACCTTGCATGAATACATAAATCAGGCGCCATGTAGCGTGGGGATGGGTGCCCCTCCACTTTTTTCCAGATACAAGTTTTGCTAGACACAGAGAAATATATAGGAAAAAATCTTTACAGCAGTAGGTCGCCCGCGTGGCGCATTGGTAAGAGCGTCTGCTTTAGAGAGTTGATCCTTGTGACGTGGGTTTTCGAATTCCACTGTGGGACGTAGGTATCAGTCTTTTGAGACCATAAAGACCGAGATTCCGTAGCGCAGTATGTGCTGGTAGGAAAAAAGATCCCTCATTGCTAAATGGCCCATAGTACCTAGCATGAATAAAAATTTGTAGCCCTCCATCGGCAAGTGGCGTGTAGGTGTCAAAAATTCTCTCAAGGGACTTTAACAACAAACAAGCAAAATAAACAACAGCAAAGCCATAATTTTTGTAATAATATTGATATGGATTCAGGTAACTTAAAACTCAAGTCCTTCCTTATAAACTTTGTAATACTTATTTAAACTGTGCTTTTTCGTAGCCAATGTGTTCAAGTGAGCATTGTGACCCATGGATCTCTTGTTTCATCGACCAGGGGAAATATCGCATTGAAATTTTAAATCGTTAAAAATTGGAAACTGGACTTCTAATCATACATGTACTCTAACATAATTTATCTATTTTTTCAGAATTTGTGAAGCTGATGTGCACGAAATATCCACTAACGTAGTCTGGAAACTCCAGAAAAGTCGGACGTGAGAGTTTCTACTGTTTGATTTAGTTGTTCGTCTTCCTCACTGGAAAAGCGGACGACATTGATAAGTAATGAGATTCTATTCATCGAAGCCATTTTCTTCAACAATTGACAGAGGATCTCATGAAATGAAAAATCAACCGAAAATTCCCATTTCATGTCATCACACATCGGTCCTATATGCATGTTCATATGATATTCCATGTTAAGTGCTGTAAAAAAGGGGGAATAACCAAACCGCGTTTTTACGCAGTATTGTACACCCTTAACCAAACAACAACGAACATATTACCTTTTTTATTATAATTTGAGGAAATTTTGTATAATTTTAGAAATAAAACAAATCAATGAAGAGGGGGAGAGGATTATCGCTATATTATACAAATGTCGTTTAATCATGTAGCCATACAAGTAAAGAACTGAAATTTCGTATGTAGTATACAAGAGTCTTGGCCTTCGACATGCAACTTTTTTCCTTTTTAAAAATAAAAATTTGCAGTAAGCTCAATTCCTCACTAAAGGGCGCGCAACGAGAGCTATATATCTCTCCCATCATCGTTTCAATGTAGATTCACAGGCAGTAGTCGTACAAAAAAAAGGCCCATACATCACATTTTGATGTTTCATTTCAATATATCTCAATATTTTAAAATATCTATTATAAAAAAGTGTCTTTTAATATTATTGGCTATTTAATAAAGGCGCACAAGCTAGGTGAGGACAATTCTTCCGCTGTGAGACAATTTTTCTCTCAATTTTCAAAGTTCACAAAAATTTGTATTTTTTTTATATATAAAATTAGTTTTCAGTAATGACATCTTAAAAATATTTGATTCATTTCTTGGCTGAGCCCATTCTACATGAATATCGAAAAAGACTTTGTGCTTCAACAATCTCGGTTATGTAAATGACACTGACACACATCAAAGATATGGTAAGACTTCGTGGTTAGCGCGTTCAGTCTTGCTTAACCATGAGCCTTGGAATTATGCGTGAAGTATTTGTTTACTTTTTACATACCTCAACACTTTGGATGAAAAAAGAACTTTTTATCATTACTTCATTCATTCAAATAAAGGAAGCAAATATATTAAAGATGATAGTGATATTAACATTTTCTGGAAAAAATACTTTTCATGAAATTTTAGAACTGAGAAATGTCTTACCCCAGAGCGGAAGATTGTGTTTGGCTTGCGTGCATCGATACATATTTTAAAATATGAATAATTTTTTTTTACAACTACGTTAAATGAAGTCTAAGTAACACACCCTTTAGTGAGAGTATCGGCCAGAGGTGGAAAAAAGTATTAGTTAATAAAGTCACATTTAATTCCCTTTCTTTAATTTCAAAGCTTCCTAGTACAATTGTACATTATATTGAAAAGGAAATACATGTGAAAGAGGGCTGGTGTATTTGAAATATTGGTTTCATATAGTGACAGTAAAGCAGTGCAATTCAAGTTTGATGATGATTTGTTTACATTTCCAATGTCTTTGTCCGAGATAAAATTACCAAATGTAAATGTACTTTATTTCTCCATCAATGTATATTGGCGCAGTTCCAAAAAAACATGTGCAGGGCGGGACAGACAGCTAGACAGAAGCAGGGCTTGGAGCACGTGGATTGGCGGAATCAGAGCATGTAAATATAAGGAATAACTGTCTTATTTTTCGATTTCATGAAGATGATCAATCGATTGGCTTGCGTGATAATTTTATGCATAAACGCCTTAGGCGTTTATGCAAATTATCACGCAAGCCAATCGATTGATCACTTCATGAAATCGAAAAATAAGACAGTTATTCCTTAAATACATAATGACTGATGGGTTGCTTTATGTTTAGAACTTGTAGATAATCATATAATTGACACACATATACTGAAAGGAAAAAGAAACGCAGGGTAGCATAATTTTCAATAAAAATTTGACCACATGACCGAAAATTACGAAAATTGGTCAGAAGGGAAATTTAGTTACTGTGCATCAAAATCAGTATTCAGACTTACTCAACCGTAAAATTTATGACGTCACGTAGGGAAAACGCTAAAAAGCCCAAAACACGTGCAATTTGATACCGACAAGTTTGTCAACAAATCTTGTTTCATTATTTGATGCATATGAGGTATGCACATCGTTTTTCAATATTAAGAGACATTATGAATTTATTGCAATTTTGGCACAGTTTACGGAAGTTCAATGGGGTCTTGTTTTCGAATTGCCTAATTAATGAAAAAGGCAACAACGGTTTACTAAGTTGTCTCTTGTAAATTTTCCCCATAAAACATTTTATACGTTGTCAGAGAGGGTCTGGAGTGGTTTTCAATCAACCGTGACGATGACAATAACGCGAAACAGAGCCACGTTACGAGCGGATTATTCGTCCTGCCATCTCTTAAATCGCCACCTTACTACCACAAAAACAGCCATTTATAGAGAAGACGATTATAATCATTACATTCATACGAAATTTGAAAGAAAACAATTCCGCAATTTGGTATTTTGAGCCAGTCAACTTGCTGTTGTATTCCTCTCACTGGCGCATGCGCGCGTCGTTTGACTTATTTTTTTGTGTGGTTACTCATGCTAAATATAGCCAGGGTTTGAAAGATACACACTCTGAGGAAATACCATGCAAAGGAGAAATAAGACTATGACAGATGCACGAGATAGACATTGAAGATAATGAGTTTTCGATTTTCACTTTTGGGGGGTATCGTCATTTGAGCTTCAATAACTCATGAATAATTAGACAAAATCATATGTGAATTTGGTTATATCTTTTTGAAAGGTGATTTTAAAAGTTAGATAGGAAAACTAACAAGTATTTTAAGGAAAACAAATTTAATTAACCTCAAAAGTTTACCCTGCGTTTCTTTTTCCTTTCAGTATATATCAGTACAGTGGATCCGTGTAACAGCAAATGCAGAGCTTTGAGAAAGTGCTGTGTATATAAGTCCCTCATTTTATTATGTTGCCGACCTTATTCATGTTATTTGAATGTATTTTACATGTAAATCTTAACAAAAAATATAAAAACAAGATTTGTATTTTACTTGTTTATTTATTTGTGTTTTTTTCTAGGGGAGATCAGGGGCGGATACAGGATTTGTGGTTAGGGGGGGGGGCGTGAATAACTTTGTTGAGGCAAGGGGTCTGGGGGCCGCCTTAAGGGCCCCAGTGGGTCCAGGGCGAAGCCCTGGTGGGGGCCCAGGGGGCGAAGCCCCCGGAAGCTCCTGGGTTTTCGTGTATTTTAGAGTAAAACCAGGCACTATAATAGTGCATATTTTTCATTTTTTTTGTTAAAAGTGGCATATAGGTTCGGATGTTTGAATGATAATATTGTATTGAATGTTTCTCAGTTCTCATTGTATTGTAACACATGCCACCATAATAAACGATTTACCTACTTAGTACTTACTAATAGTGGTATTGGTTAGTGATGTAGCAAAGTACGCCGTGTTTATTACTAGTTATTTCATACTTTGAATGGGGGGACCAGGGGGCGCAGCCCCCGGAAGCTCCTGGATTTTTGTGTATTTTAAGAGTAAAACCAGGCAGAATAACAGTGGTTTGGTTGGTCTTAGTAGTATAAGGGGTCTGGATGGGCGGGTCAACTGAGTGCACTTTTGGGGCTGAGGGGGATAGGCGGGTCAACTGAGTGCAGCCCCTGTGGGGGATAGGTGGGTCAACAGAGTGCAGCCCCTGTGGGGGATAGGCGGGTCAAGAGAGTGCAGCCCCTGTGGGGATAGGTGGGTCAACAGAGTGCAGCCCCTGTGGGGGATAGGCGGGTCAAGGGAGTACAGCCCCTGTGGGGGATAGGCGGGT